TGTTTTGATAGACAGCAGTGAACAGTGAAATTGAGCTCAACTCAATCATTTGGGGCATCATTGGCTAATATTAAAATTTGTTTGATGATATAAAACATGTTAGTGCAACAAATATGAAAAACATTAGGAAATCGGGAAGGGGGCACACACTTGTTACACTACTGTATTGATGTAGCCACTGTTGTATCACGTATTTGTTAGTTAAGTCCAGTCATGAAGCCACAATCTGGCTGTTGTAACTGCCATCACCATGGTGTTTTGGATGTTGAAAGTGAGGGGTGGATCTGAGTGTTCTAATGACTAGTCAATCACAGGATGTTAGCTAATAAGAATGCTCTGGTTTATCCTCTTTTCTGACTCTAATAAGTACCATAAACTATAAAAAGAACTTAATGTTGTAGTTAGTATAACTTGAAACCAGTATTAAAAGCCATGAACTCACTTGGAACTGCTGAGAATTGTTTGCCCACAGACATATATAACCGTCACTTTTATTCCTACCAGGGAACCCCCTTGCTGGCGAGTTCAAAGACAAAGATTTGAAGCCCTTCTTGCATAGGTTTCACTTATAAGACCACGTATCTGTGTCTGTCTTTTACATGCAGTCAATTCTGTAAGCTCCTAATGTTGTGCATTATTAGACTTATTAGTGTCACAAAGATTTTCATTTTTCTGTCCAGGCAAGTTATATAGAAGTTGGCTAATTATCAGAAAACCATTGACTGATCTTAGCACAGTTTGACCACTACACAATTCTAAAGCCTAGCCCACAGCTATACATCTGCCTTGTTTTAGGAACCCTCAGATGTGAACATGCTGCCACTGCAAGTATTATAAATTTAGAAATAAGCTTGTACATAATGAAATAGACAAATATTCATCTTTTATAATGGTTTCCTTTCTACCTTCAGGTGGCTGTCAGTTAGGCATCCAGGCTAAAGGAGAGTGTTTGAAGCACTGGTATGAATGCCTCAAGAATAAAGACAAGAAGATTGAGCGTTGGCATGTTCTTCTAAATGACAACACCACTCAGTTTGAGGATTGAAAGTTAAAATCTTCAACTCTTCTCTGTATTTTTTTCTCCATATCTCTCTGTAAAATGTCTTCCATGAGTGCAGGTAGACAAATAATGTACTCTTGCTTTCAATGTAGTTTGCTGCAAAATGCTATATGAAAGCTTCATTTTAAGCACTATTGTTTTTTGTGACCAACATGGATGTTGACCTTTATGCTTTTTGTCAAAAGGAGTTTATCATATCATAAACTGTATCAGACTATAAACAAATATTCTGACATGCAGTAATGTTTGAACTGATTATCGTGTTTTATGGACAAGATAACAGCCCTTTATTTTCGTCATCAAGTCGGCATGTTGTAATGAAGTGCGCCTCTACTCAGTCCTAGGAAGCGGTATTTCCAGTTTTCTGTCTCTCACCCATTTTCACTGTGTTTTGACTGATTGATTGATTTTATTTTGGTATCTACAGAACTTACACATACTGATATTGATATGTATCCATGTCACCTACGGTCATGTGTTATCATCTGATTTTCCATATTGTTTGGGTATGGGTGTTATGTTTTTATTTTCATGTGTTGTAGTACATATTTATTCTGCTTTATGCATCTGTTAAATATTACGTTAGGCACTGCAGTGAACAATCATTTGTTTTGCATGTGACATGCAGATAACATACTGTTTTCCATATCTTCATGGTCGCTACATCACCTTCTTCCATGCATGTGGGGAGTATTCAACAACCTAAAATGTTTCTGCATGAAATTATAATAATGATTATTTCAAAAACAAATTTAATTATGCAGTGGCTGTTAGGTTGACCAGATCCTAGGAAACTAAATGTGGGGAAAAGGCACAATGTGGCCTGTGTGAATTTGAACCCAAAGAATTACTAAGGGTTATACCTCATGTTCAGTTGTTCAGAATATTTAAACGGACAACACTGTTCTGTCTAGTATTCATCTTTGGAGTTGAAAAGGTGTTCATCCATATATACTGGCAAATCTATTATTGATCATTTTTCTTGTTCTATTTTTTGTGAGACTTTTAGGAGATGAGTTTGGTAAACAAGAACTAATAGAACTAATTAAAATGTGTGACATTGTCTAAATATATGAATATATAGGAGGAGGGAGTTAAGGGCTTAAGTAAGGGTTCCACTTTATGTCCAGTCTCACATAAAGTGGAATATCTGGTCACCGGAAGTTCTGTTTTTGGAATATGATGAAATATTGCTCCACAGGTATATCTTATATACATTTGCAGGTTGTTTTCAGTTACATATTCAACATTGTCCTGTCTGTACTGATATTGGTGCATGTCTGTAGCAACACATGGCTAATAAATAAAGACCTGATGAAACTTGCTCGGCATTTGTTGTGTATGACATGGCATAAACTTTGTCTGAATCAGGTGAGGTTCAAACCAATCAGCTCAGACAGACACGCAGCTGAAATATTTGTGAACTTTGACTTCTCCTGATAAAACTTCTTCTGTCTAACTGGGGGAAAGTTTATAGACTCATTACACTCTAAAAAAAGTCTGATCTTGAATGATCTACGAGCTATGATCTCACTTTTGATGTTATCAGAAAGGTTCTACCACAGCTGAAAAGATAGGCCTGGCAAGAACTCCAATATTTACATTTCAACTCCAAGACCTTCAGACAGAGCAAAAAGCTGTGTAGAATTAAGCCGTGAAACTCTGCAAAGGTCTGCATCAAACTATATAATGGCAATGAACACTTTACTGACTCTAGAAAAAAAATGCAAGCACAAAAACCAAGAGCAAAAAATGTCAACACACAAACACATTACAGACCATTACAACAAAAAGATAAGGAGACTAAATGAATATATAAAGATAAGCAAAACAATCACAGGAGCAACACACGAGAGACAACAATGATGTAATAAAATGGCTATAAAAATGCAAAATGGCTACTAAGTGACACAAAATGACACAAAAATCACAAGAAGGGATAAAGACAGATGACCTGGTAATAAAAGAAGCAAACAGAGAACAGAAAAAGAGAAAAAGGATAAAAGATGACCACAACAGTAAACAAAATCACCAAAAGAGAGGTGAAATGACAATAAAATAGACAAAGAGGAAACCTACTATAATGAGAGGTTAAAAAGACACAAATCGCAAGGGGAGACTCAATGACTACAAACAAAACAACCACAAAAAAAGAACAAAAAAAATCATAAGAAAGAGAGCAATGTAGCATAAGTATGCAAGCTTGCAAAAACAAGATGCAAAAGGACTACAGAGAGTGGCAGTCATTGAAAAATAAAATAAAAACTGCTAAAAAAGACAAAATGACCCTGGAACGAGACAAGCGGAGTGGAAAAAAAAGGTCAAATGGACACAAAACACCATCTGTGGTCTTTCATTTTTTTAGTTCAAGTATCTTCTGTAGGTGAGGATGTTTCTGGGTCCACGGATTATATAAGATTACAGATTATATTTTTCTCTATCACAAAACTATGTCAACACTCAAATACTATTTTAGGCACACTTGAAGAGAACAGTCTGCCTGGTTGGGCTGCTCACTGCAATACAGTTACTGGCCACATCATTAGGTACACCTGCTTAACTCCTCATTAACACAAATATGTAACCTGCAGATCCCATGGAAGAAACTCAGTGCATTTTGCATGTAGACATGGTCACGACTGCTGAAGTTATAACTGAGCATCAGAATAGGTGATTCAGTGATTTTGAACAAAGCATGCTTGTTGGTCTGTGCCAAACAGGCAGCTCTGAATATTTCAGATCCTGTTCTACTGGGGTTTTCCTATTCAACTATCTCTCCCAAAATATCCACTGAACAGCAGTTCTCACCTTGTTGATGCCAGCAGACAGAGAGGAATGGACGGGCTGCTTCAAGCTGAGAGAGAGGCAGCAGTAACTGAAATAACCAGTCATTACAGCCAAAGTATATAGAAGAGTATCTCTGAATGCGTAGCCCATTCAACCTTGAATCAGAAGGGCTACAGCAGCAGAAGACCACACTAGGTGACGCTTCTGCCAGCTAAGAACAGGAATCCGAGGCTACAGTTTGCATCAAATTATCAAAAGAGTTTTTTTCTTGTCATCCTTTGGACCCCTTAGCATAAAATGAGTACCATTTAAACTTCTCAGCCTAACTACTCAGTGTTGTTGAGGACCTTTATAACCATACATCTTCTGATAGTTGCTTCCAGCCAGATAACGCTCCGCATTACAAAGCTCAAATCTTCTGACACTGGTTTCTTGACAATGAGTTCACTGTACTCAGATGGTCCCCACTGTCACTACATCTCAAACCAACAGATCCCCTTTGGGATGTGGTTGAACTAGAGTTACATCATGGATGTGTAATTGACAGCTCCTGTCAACATGGAGCAAAATCTTTGAGGAATATTTCTAACAGCTTGTTGAATTTATCCCATAAAAGATTAAAAGCACAACAGAATCTGGCACCAGCCTAGTGTACCTAACACTAATGACATAACCTGTGATTAGAGATCATAAGAGGGCAGTGCTTCACTTTAGGTCAATTAAAAAAAAAGATTGAGAAATAGTAGTAAAAGGTCCATAATCCAAAAGCAGGCAGGCTTTTGGATTATGGTTTAAAAGTTTCTGTCTTGGCATAGGTTGGAGAAAGTGAGAAAGGACTGAATATAAAAGCAAATCTCCCAGGAGTTCCAAGAGATTTCCATCTGTCAATCAGAAAACACTGATAAGGTTGTCAGAATGTTTTTGGGGAGTGTCTATCACTTTTAAAGATACATTTGTAGATTGGTAGCAGCGTGCTGCCTGTGGGTATGTGTCTGGGTGGGTTTGGTGGGTGTTGTCAACAGTGTGTATCATGGTCACTGTCTGTGATGTGGGACAGATAGTGTGTGTGTGTGTGTGTGTGCTTGCGTGGCTGTGTGGGGGCGGGAGTAAAGTGTTTGGCTATGCTAACAGGTCACATGGGTGGTTTGGTGTTTATTTTAGTACCACCGGATCACCCGAGCACCCTCCTCCTCCTCTACCACCCTCCTCCTCCTCTTCTCATTTAAAATCGACCTGGAATCTGTCGATCTGTCCGTAAGTCCTCAGAGAGTGAAACAACAATACTGAAGTGAAACCGTTTCCCAGCCTGTTTCCTTCAGCTGCTTTCCTCCTCGACCCGCCGCCACCATGATGCGCATCGCTCCACTTGTTACTCTCATCTGCACATCATCACTCCTGAGCTCCACCGCAGCAGCAGCCTCGGTTCTCTGCACGTGGACTAAAGTTTCTGCTAACGGAGAAATGCACTACAGTTTTCTCCGTAGCGACCCGCAGCAGACCCCTCCATCTCTGCGGCTGTACCACACCGCCTGGTCCGGGGAGCGCGCTCTGCTTGGCTGCACTTGGAGCGACGACACAGCGGTGACCCAGAACTATTTGTCTCTGTGCCGGGAGCGCGCGTGGGGCTTTTCAGAGCATCCAAATGAAAATGTCCATTTGGACTCCGTGTTAGAGACAGAAGGGCAGTGCGTCTCCCTGGCGTCTCTCGGGGAACCCACAGGAAAGAGGTCGGTGAGGAGTGTTCGTGTTCAAGGTCAAGATGAGAGGTCAGAGGGCAGCATACATAAGCGTGTAAAGCGCGGTTTTATTGTACCCGGGACTCTCTGGTGCGGCTCTGGCAACAAGGCACCCTCATATTCAGATCTGGGTATGTGGATCCATGAACTCCGTTTTTGAACTTATGTACAGGGAGTGCTTCCCACCTTTGGAGCCTTAATACTAAAGTTTGCTCTAACATTTAAAGGATAAAAAAAAAAAAACTATGTTTAATTTTTCTTCTGAATTTGAAGTGAACTATGTTAGCCCCTTCTCTCCCAAACTCCAGAAACAGCCTAGGGACATATATTTCCCATAATTCAACTAACTGACCTCTGCCTTTCTTGCTTGCTAAATCCTTGTGTTTAGTATTCATCTTTTAAACTGTGTCTCTACATAAAGTGTAGCTAATTTCATTTATAAATGCCAAAATTAAAAATTAGTCTCACAATGGGTCCAGGGTAGATATTTTATCCATGAAGCAGATAAGGAAAAACTGAAATAGATGGATGGCATGCAGTACATATAGATATAGACAGAAAAAGTAGTGGGTGTTCCCTCTTCTGTGTAATATCACAGCTGTACCCTCTGGAGCTGAAAAGTGAGGCTTATGCAGAAGTGCCAAAAACTACAGTTGCTTTACTTCCTTCTTCAAAAGGCCTCTTCTTTAAATAGAGAGTAGATTCCCATACTAAAAAAGCAAAACATCCCTGCATTAAAAAGTATGTTTACAGCCCGTTACAAAAATTTCTATGGGGAATAATTCTCCCCTTGATATTCCAGGATATGGCTGCTTTGACAGGTATGTCATTGCTAATAGCTTTCTGCTAATGTTCACCTCTGCTAGCCCTCTTGTCTGCTAATTTTAGTCACTAAAATGACCATTTAGACTGTCTTTAATTTGAATGAAATTCAATAATTTTCTGAAGAAGCATTTAAAAAGTTGATATTATTATACATATATTTTTACCTGTTTGAAGTTTCAGTTTTTCACAGCAAACAAAAAGATAAATCCACACTTCCTTAACAAGGCAATAAACCTTATTCAGATTTAATATCTATCTATCTATCTATCTATCTATCTATCTATCTATCTATCTATCTATCTATATATCTATCTATCTATCTATCTATCTATCTATCTATCTATCTATCTATCTATATATATATATTATTTATGTTGCACACTTAAAGAATGGGAACAAACCCAAGAACGTTACTGACAGAAAGGAAAAAAACAAACAAAGATCACAACAAGTAAACTGACATTTACATTTTGGAGAGTTTCAATCATGTTACATTCTTTTAATCCACACCTTCTATATATGTTTTGACCTGTTGCAGGAGTGTTTTCAGAGACCGACCGTTGCTGCCGGGAGCACGATCAGTGCAGACACACCATCCTGTCCTTTCACTCAGAGTTTGGCATTTTCAACAGCAACATCTTCACCATGTCTCATTGTGACTGTGATAACAAGTAATTATCCTATCCTTTCCTGATTATTTTTCAGCTGGTTTGTTGCATGTGCTTTGATGTTGATTCTTTCTTAAAATGATGGCATCAAATATGTTAAAGGTTTCGAAGTTGTTTGGTGGAGGCGGATGACGGCATAGCTGATGTAGTGGGATATACCTTCTTTAACCTGCTGAAGATGCACTGCTTTACATTCTCCCACCAGCTTCAGTGTACACAGAGAAACTGGTTTGGAATGTAAGTAAAGCTGTGATGGAAATAAAATGATTTTGTGTAATTGTGAAGGTCTATGATTCATCCAGTATTGTTATTTCTCCCTGACCTCTCATGGTATCCAGCCATTATAGTTTTATTTGTTCTGGGTTTGAGGCATCTGTGCCTTAGATTGCTAGCAGGTTTACAAATTGCTTTGGTAGTTCACTACTTTGGTCGAGATAAAGCTAATTGGATCTCAAGCTAATTACAGGAAACAGTGGAGACTTTCGCCTCTTTTTACATCTAGAAAAAAAAGTCTGAAAAGCATATACCTGGACTAAAGGTAATATCTTTGATAAGGTGTCATCTTTTTGACCCAGTTTTACTGAGTCAGAAAGAAAAAAAAGCTAGCCTGACTCTATCAGCCAACTAACCAGCTAACTTAAATTAACTCCATACTTATTTACCTCACCTGTAATGTCAAAACACCAAGCTACATTTTCTTTTTTTTTTCCATGCAAGACCAAGTTTTAAGATAATTTTTCATATCGTTAGCTTCATAGCATAAGTGCCTAAGTCATTTTTTGGTCAAATTGAGATTTTTGCCTAACTTTACTCCCCTACCACTGCTGCATCATCCTGTCCGTCTGCCTATGTCACACAAAAAAATGACTTAGGCACTTATGCTATGAAGCTAACGATATGACAAAAATGGATTAGTTCAAACAATTTAGTCAGGCAACTTAATTCTAGGTTTAGCTATAGCCAAATTGAGAGTTTTTGAGTGTGTAGCTAAATCCAAACTAATTATCTAGTGAATATTATAGTTTACATATACAGCTAATCAATACATAAAGCATGAAGTATTGATTATTACTAAAACTAGATAAGCTTGCCATTACTCCTTGTTTTCAGCAACAGATAGATAGATAGATAGATAGATAGATAGATAGATAGATAGATAGATAGATAGATAGATAGATAGATAGATAGATAGAAGTCTGCTTGTAGTGAAGTCTCTCATCCTCTATGACCTCTTTAAACGATTAGTTGACGAGTTCATGGCTTCAATCACTAGTTTCCAGACTTAGTGAATACCTCACTAAGTAATAGGCGAAGTCACTGTAGCTAAGTGTCTTCTATCCTGTCTTCCTTCTCTCCCCCCAACCGGTTGCAGCAGATGACCCCGCCCCTCCCTGAGCCTGGTTCTGCCAGAGGATATTCTTCCTGTTAAAAGGGAGTTTTTCCTTCCCGCTGTTGACAAAGTGCTTGCTCATAGGGGGTTATTTGATTGTTTGGTTTTTCTCTGTATGTATTATTGTAGGGTATACCTTACAATATAAAGTGCCTTGAGGTGACTGTTGTTGTGATTTGGCGCTATATAAATAAAATTGAATTGAATTGAATTAAGTCGATCTTTTCTATACAGTTTATAGTTTTGATCTCTTTTGGTGCAGACTGGTTTCAGGCTGGTATTTGTAACTTAATTTTGATCTGAGAGAAAGCATCCATCTTCCAAGTCAACACTTGGGAACAATAAGAAAACTAAATATTTCTGTAATTTTTTCGTCCTTTGGGTTCACTTGCAGGTGTAAGGAGACTAAAATGGCTCTGTATGCTGAGGTTCATTCACCCATATTGTACAAATCTAAGCCAACAGATGAAACCATGAACAGCTCCGTGATCAATTCTACCACGCCTGCAGAACTCCTAGAGAATAGCACTTCAGATTTACAGCTTTCCTCCAATACTGCTGCTGCATTCACAGTCCCTACACCCTTTGCCTCCATCATTCCTCTTACTAACGCTACAACATACACGGGCAGTAATGCGACAGAGACACCTTTGGGATCTGTTCCTGACAGAAGAGAAAATCTGGAGAACATTGTACCAACCAAAAATCACACTGTGACTGAAGTAGGCCCTGATATCACAGGTATTTGATACTAACCACATCTCAGTATATTCACTGATTTTCCTATAACAGAGTAACTGACCACTTCTGCCGATGCTTCTCTACAGCAATGTCATGTGGTATCTATAAGGATATCGATGAGTGTAGGGACAAGATCCCATCCCAGCATGAGAAATATGGCTTCTACAACCAGGAGCCAAAGACACTTTACCACTGCAACTGTACTGTCAGGTAAGGCAACACACTGTGTAAATTCTCTGTATTATTACCAGTACAGGGAAGTCATACGGAGAATTTTGCTTGCTTTTTTTTCTAGAATAATCTGATCGGGGGTAATTTTTCAGCATGTGTCACACCATATCTAAAATACACACATTTACTTAGTAATTACAGGGCATGTGCAAACACTGAGATAACAGCGCACTCGGCTTTGTTCTGTGTATTCCCAACAAGGCATACATAGTGTAACACAAAATAGGGAACATCCATTAACACAGATACTCTCTCCAGTTCTCTTTTTGTTCTAGTGGCCTTTTCATATGCTCCCTGCCTTTGTCATGTGCTCGGACATTTCATTTGACTGGGCTTTTTGTACTTCTAGAATATTCCAGACTTTGGCTAAACAGAGACAACTGACCAAAGTGCAAGCTCATCTTCTGGGACATGTGTCTCAGTCCTGCTTCCTGCTTGAGGAATGCACGGCAGACAGCAAGTAAGTATACAAACATATACAGTAGATGTATTTAACTGGCCTAGCTTTAAAGAATATAATACAGTTATATCACTGTGTATAACAGAAGAAGTCAGATCAAGTACACAGTCACTATGACTGATATATTATGACATAGCATTAATGGTCAAAATGGCCATCCATCAGTCTGTGGACATGGAGCTATAATTCTAAATCTTTTATATACAGCTACATATTTTAGTTTGGTGCCTAAAAAAATGGAAATACTGATCATCGGATCATGAGATGATGCTACACACATTTCCATTGCATACAGTGATTTAAAATACATGTTCAGCCGTGCATTCTCTTAAGCTTTATACTTGTTCTGTATGTAAATAATCCCATGTAGTGGATGATTAGAAAAACTGCATGAAATATACATTTTTAAGTAAAGTAAAGGTATGTCAACTCTAACACTAAAACTAAATACTAAGTAGCATCACAAAACATTTGTTCTTCTGCTTCATTCAACAGCTGTACTCTAGTCGTGGTAAAAGCCGAGCTTCCTCAGCAGGATCAGTGGACCAGCGTAGCAGTGGAGGAGCAACACCATCTACAGGCAGTACAACTGAACCTCAGGAGGCCAAACCCAAGGAGAGCTAAGAGAAAAGACAGAGAAGTGAGGCTCCACAAACTGTGTCTGAGATTGACCCGACGCAGACAAATGAAGAAGAAGAGAAAAAATGTCTAAAGGGAAAAAACCTCGTCCTAATGTTCAATATTATATACGTAAGACACTATGAAATCTATTTTCACATGGAGTAGCAAAAAATTTTCCTGTTCATTTCCTGATGTTATCTTCTTCACAGTCAGTCTCTCTTATGGAAAGCTTTATTTGTCTTTACGCTCAAGTCTTTCTGTCAATAATGACTAACAGGACAACTTCAACTCTCGTTTGATGTTCTAAGGCCTGCACAGATCATGTTAATTTGATTTAATTAATTTTTAGATCAGCAATACAAACTTAGAAGATTTATTTCCACTGACTTTATACTATTTAGGCAAAACCTACAGAGAAGGAAATATATATATATGTGTATATATATATATATCCATCCATCCATCCATCTTCATCCGCTTATCCGAGGTCGGGTCGCGGGGGTAGCAGCCTAAGCAAAGAGGTCCAGACCTCCCTCTCCCCAGCCACCTCCTCCAGCTTGTCCGGGGGAATACCAAGGCGTTCCCAGGCCAGCCG